GCGGAGGAGGGGGAGGACGGAACGTGGTTCTGGGTATCTTGGCAGGCTCGTGAAAACTCTAAGCACGTATTTGTTATCACCAAGCAAAATTTTATTATAAAGGCGAAGATTTTCGTAAATGACGGAGAGTTGCTATTTGATAAGCCGATATAGGGTAGCACAGGTTGCGGAAATAATGTAGATTTTTTTTTATGCATGAGAAAGAACAAAGCTTAAAAAGAAACGTTAGCATTACTCTATGTGTGTGTGTGTGTGTTTGTATGTATGTGCGTATGCGTATGTAGTGTATGTGTCGTCCTTGATTACGATCTTCGGGTCAAGACTGCTAGCTGTATCGACGGTGCAAAAACAGGTGAAACGAAAGCTGTTCGAATTCAGCACCTGCAACGTAATGCATCACTTGCGCTGATTCTCAGTGCTGGATCGTACGTAAAGAAAGCGTTCAGGAGCTGTAGGCAGCTGTCATTAGCTCGTTCCATCACAACTTTAAGCTTATTGTATGGCTGTGAGCGTAACTGGATGTTCTGGAGCGCCAGTAATTCGTCCACTCCTCGCCATATTTTCTCAGTCGGAGTCCCAAGTAACTCAATTATTCTGTTGATCTGAAACATGAATTTCAATGCCAGACGTTTACCGCATTTGCAGCAAACTGAAATCAAAAAATTTATTTTCTCGGTAGCAGAAGAGACAGTTTAACGTATGGTGCTTGTGAAAATTGACAAGGGTCACGCAGAATGTGCAAATTGCCCAAGTACTAAACACTCCGTGTGTCAAACGAAGTGAATGGAATAACACAGCCTCAAAATCAAATATTTTAGCAACAACGGCTTTACCTGATCTAACTCGGTTTTTCCGGGCAGCAGCGGCCGATGAATGAGTAGTTCAGCAAGGATGCAACCTGTTGCCCACATATCCACACCAGTACTCTGCTCCTTTGCGCCAAATAACAGCTCGGGACTTCGATACCTAAAAAGCATCATGAGCATACAAAACCGTTCACAACGCTTTTTATGCGTTTTTGTGTGTGCAAATGCAAAAACGCATATTGTGACGACCCATCATGTGCTTCTGTGTATGTGTGCGTATGTGTGTGTGTGTGTGTGTATGTATGTGTGTGCGTGTGTTTGTATGTGCGTATACGCCCGTAGGGGCGTTTCAACTCGGCAACCAAGCAAGCTTCGAGGCCGGAATTTTGCCAGTGGGTTCCCCGGCCAGTTGCCATCCAAGGATCACAGTACTAACATCCATGCACGCCTAAGCCCCGCAAGCACTTGGAAGTTTTGGCGGGAAAATTGCTGGCTCGGAAATCGGGGGGAGCTGACGGCCGAGGTTTTAAGAGGAAACTTCCCGCCTAAGTACGACGTAAAGATTTCAAATTCAGCGTGTTTCTCACATTTCAGCACTTAAAAATTTTGGTGGGAAAACTGCTCACTGAACAGTTATGTCATTTTCAAAGCACGGCTGTTAAACGGAATTGTTCATTTCCCTTTACGCAAAATTTACGATGATTTAGGCTAGTGTAAAGCAGCAATTATTTATGCAGTTACTACCTGACTGCTTCAAGTTTAGTGCAAAAACGCATGTTTGTACCGGCACGCCTAATGCGCTCCAGCCTAGGGTTTAAAATGAAACAATTAAAGGGAATTTGAATACTGCTAAAACACTGCAAAATTCGACTCTTTGCTCAGAAACAAAGCCTAAACCCTTCATTCATACCAAAAAAAAAAACAGACAAAAAAATAAATCCACAGAATCGATATACCATAAGGTCACAACTCGAGGAGTCATCTGTCGCGGTGGTATGTCAAATTTACGAGCTAGACCAAAATCTGCAACTTTCAAACAACCATCGTCGGTAAGCAGAAGGTTTGAGACCTGTAAAAATCAAAGTTTTTACGTCGCTCAAACTGTCCTTCTT